CTATTGTCATCATCATTACCACCACGAATCGCGCGCGCCGACGACGACGACGAAGAGGACGATCGCGAGGGTGAGAATGACGTCAACAGAGATAAGATATCTTTAGCGTTCAATTTAAATGTCTTTGGTTTTGTAGACACCCCATTATCGTTAATATTTTTTAATACTTTTGAAGTGTCCGCTCTTATACTAGCTGTTAAATTTGTCCCAGCGACAAATTTAGTTGAACTAGCTGCTGTAGAATTAGCTGAAGCGGCTTTATTAGCTGCTGTGGTTGTATAAGTTGCAGCTGTTGTGGTAGCTGCAGTGGCCGCTGTGTCGGCATCAGAAAATTCAAAATGATGGAAGACCATACCGTCGGAAACAGTGCGCAGCTCCACCAGGTATATACCGGCGCTGCTGCTAATTGTCATGCTGTTTGTAAGGGTATTTGTTCGTGAATGCTGTATACAATACAATACAATAAAATGCAATTCAATACAATACAATACAATACAATGCAACACAATACAACAATAAATTGTTGCATTTCTATTATTCATTATTATTCTACTTATTTTTTTATTTCTATTTATTTATTATTAATTAATTAATTAATTTACTTATTATTAATTAATTTATTTGCAAACTTGCGCATGTCTAGAGTCTGCCTGCTACTATGCACATCGTCGTAATCATTGAACCATCTGAATAATTTTGCAATCGTCACCATAAATCATCATCATCACTATCATCGTCATCTTCACCATTATCATCGTCGTCATCATCATCATCATCACCAACAGCATCATCATCGTCATCTTCACCATCGCAATCAACATCATCATCGTCATCAACATCGCCATCATCATCGTCATCAACATCGTCATCATCATCGTCATCAACATCGTCATCATCATCTTTTTCGTTATCCTCATCGTCATCGTGACGAACTTGTGTTTATTCAAGATAAGAGCAGAGGAAAGATAAAAGTGAGAGCCCCCATCTCTTCTCCTCAATTCTCCGTAGCGAACCAAAAACTCCGGATATTTTAATGACGTCACAGTCGAAGATGATGACGATGACGATGATGACGATGATATTGTTGACGATGATTGCAATGATGATGGCGATGATGATGATGATGATAGTTCAGATGGCGATGATGATGATGACGATTGCGACGGTGGTGATGGTAATGATCGCGATGAGGATGACGTCAGCGTGACGCGGTTCGGTACGATGGTGTAAGACAATGTGGTCTCTGAAAGTGGGAATGGTGGAAAGGTTTGGAGGGGGAAACAAAAACCAAAAACAAAAGAAACTGCAAATGCGACGAATGCTATGAGTGGCGCATTGTAAATAAAAATTACGAGATGCACCAAATACAACTACAACAACTACTACTACTACTGCTGCTGCTACTACTACTACTACTACCACAACTGCGGCTGCAACCACTACTACTACTACTACAACTACTACAACTACTGCTACTACCACTACTGCGGCTGCAACCACTACTACTACTACTACTACTACTACTACAACTACTACAACAACTGCTACTACTACTGCTGCTGCTGCAACAACTACTATAACTATCACAAGTAATTCCGTCATTGCAATTCAAAGCCAAAAACGATACACTAATTCCTAAATCCCAATTTTCAATCCGACATTCCCGATCCATAATCTATACAATCCTTCAAACCACAATCCATAACTATCACATTCTCAATGCGGAGACTCACTGCTGTGCCTGGTTCGACCGACGACCAGACGTTCGTCTACTGTAATCCATCCGTCTGACCTCTCAGAAATCTGTACGAATAAGTTTTTCACTCACTCATTCATTCATTCGTTCGTTCGTTTGTTCGTTCATTCATTCATTCATTCATTCATTCATTCATTCATTCATCCATTCATCCATTCATTCATTCACCCGTTCATTTATTCATTCAGTTATTCATCCTGCAATCCATCTATATATTCGTCCATCAATCAATCAATTCATTCGTCCATTTATTAATCCATCCGCTAACTTTCCAACTAACCCTGGTGACAGTTTCAGAGCCGTCCTCCGTGTGCTTCAAGCTGTTGGTGGTAACCTTTGACCCGTCGTAATCCACGAAGGTCATCATCGGCTGACCTTGACCCAGGGTTAACTTCTTGAAGGATGTTTCTACGATGACGAGAGGCTGCAAAATGGTGGCAGCGATGATATTATTTTGAGAGAGAGAAAGAGAAAAAGAGAAAGAGAGAGAGAGAGAGAGAGAGAGTTGAAATGAAAAAGAAGGAAAATGTAGAAATGAATAAATCCAAATACCAAATTGTTTTGAAAATCGCCAGAGTTATTCATGGGAGACGTCGAAAGATTCTTCCTTGGACAGCCAACATGACTACTTAGATTTTGAACGCTATCATCATCATCATCATCTTTGCCATCATCATCATCAGCGACAACAGCAGTACCGTAATCATTACTACCACCGTCATCATCATCGTCATCATCACCATCATCATCATTGCAGATGGTCGTTGAGGAGCAGTCCAGATTTTTAGCCTGCCATTTTGAATAGGAAAAACCATCATCATTGCCAAAATTAATAATAATATTAATAATAATAATAATATTTATTATTATTTATTATTATTATTGATATTATTATAATTATACAACAATTATTATTGTGCAAAAAGAAAGCTAGCTAACGGTTTTCTTCAGCGAACATTTCGGACTGGTTGGCAGGGATGAACTCTTCATAACACTGAACAAATCAATACTAACACTATTATTATTATTATTATTATTATTGTTGTTGTTGTTTTTATTATTACGATTATTCCTCTGACACGATGACGATCGGAACGGCGATGACGACAGCGACGCCGAGGTCAAGGAGGTCAAGGAGGTCAGTTTAGAGTCGAAATTGAAGAGGGTGAAGGTCTTGTAAAGGTCATCGAAACCCCTGGCCATGATCCCGGTGCTGGTGTGTGAGAGGTCAAACGTGTGGCAGAGTTCATGCAGGCACCCTCCAAGGCCCGTAGAATAATTGGCCCATTTGTGTTCTCTGCAGTTGCGGTTGTTGTTGTTGTTGTTGTTGTTAGTGGTGGTGGTGGTGGCAATGTTTTTGGCGACAGAATCATTGTCATTATCATCATCATCATCAAGATGGACGTCACGACCACCACCACCACCACCATCATTATTATCCTCCTCATCATCATCAGCAACCAACATCGTTAACAACAGCAACGGCAACACCAATTATATTACAACAACAACTACTACAACAACAATAAAAATAACAATAAGAACAACAAAAACAACAACAAAAACAACAACAACAACACCTATAAGCGCTGTCATCCATGTACATGAGTCTGTTGATCTTTTTCATGTCTGAGAACCTGCGGTTGACCTCGCTAAGGCTGGCAGCCCAGCAGTGGAGGTTGCCCGTGCCATACAAGGCCAGACCACCTCCACCTGTTTCGTCATGATGATGATGTCGATGTTGGTGATGATAATGATGATGTTGTTGATGATGATGATGATGTTGTTGTTGATGATGTTGTTGTTGTTGATGATGTTGTTGTTGTTGATGATGTTGTTGTTGTTGATGATGTTGTTGTTGTTGATGATGTTGTTGTTGATGACGATGTTGTTGTTGGCGATGGTCAATTATTTATTCATTCGTTTGTTCCTTCGTTCGTTTGTTCATTAAACTATTCTTCAAACTATTAATTGAACTTTTCATTCATTCATTTGTTCGTTCCTTCGTTAATTCGTACATTCATTCATTCATTTATTCATTCATTCATTCATTCATTCATTCATTCATTCATTTTATCACTAGCCAAGAGCAGCATGTCCTTTGGTCATAGCTAGAACTTCGTTATGTGATGTAGGCGGTAGTTGACCATTCATTGGTCCACTGTATCTGCGTGTGTAATTCGTTCATTCATTCATTCATTCATCCATCCATTTTTTCATTCATCTATTCTTTCATTCATTCCTTCCTTCATTCATTCATTCATTCATTCAACCGGCCAACCAATCGTACCTGACCATTCACAACGACAAACCTAGTGAACGACATGAATGCAAAAAACTTGCAATTCTCCTTCTCGTCAAACAGCTGACAGGACATCAGCTGTCTGGCAAAGGTCATCCAGAGGTCACCGCCTGACATTTTTAGGGCATCTTCAAACTTTAAAGCCGTTTTAAAAACATAACAAGATGGCGGTGTAGTCACGTGACAAAATGGCGGAGATGATGACGTCACGATGTTTTCGTCAGGGATGTCGTTATTTGCAATTGAAATGTTGATTTTATTAACTGTATTATCGCCGTCGTTAATGTTGACGTCATTGTGTTTGCTGTTACCAAAGACATTAAAAGCATTTCTGCAGTGGCTGGTACTGTCATTGCTGTCTTTTATAAAGTCGTTAATGTCGTTGTTGTTGTCGTCGTCGTTACTGATTTTGCTGTTGTTGTTGATGTTGTTGTTGCGTGTTGTAACATCTTTATTCTTATATCTGTCTGTTTCTAATGCAAATGTTTTGTGTCCAAAACCTTGGATAATTTTGAAAAATAAAAGTAATTAATTCATTGATTTAATTAAATTAATTCATTGATTGACTCATTAGCTGGTTTGTTCATTTATTCAATCATTCTTTTATTCATTCACCCATTTTCTATTTATCTATTTATTCATTTAATAATTCATTCATTTATTATAATTAATAATAATTCACCTAATTCATAAAGTTTTTCAGCAATGTACGTTTGAATCATTTTAGAAGCCAGTGTAATTCTTTTCTTTGCACTTTCAACTGAACAGTCTTCATCTTTTGGGCCCTAGGTAGTTTTAGTTGCATTTACTTGCATACTCAAAATGATATATAAATATTGTTGGAGTTTGTATGCATGTTTATGATTTTATTTCTGAGCGTCTGTCTTTGTCACTTTCTGTTTCATTGTGTGTCCGTGTATGCCTTTCTCTCTCTCTCTTTCTTTCTCTCTCTCTCTTTCTATTTTTAGACATTATGAAGTTGATTGTTTACTATTGTGTCAATGTCAATTGGAGAAATGAACTGAAGAGTTTTATTTTATTTATTCAATGATTTGATTACTCAAATGTTGAATGCTCGACTAACTTGAAAAGACCCATCATGATCAGAGCAGACAACATAAACAGGCCTGACGAAATATTTAAACTTTGACGGTCTGAAGACTAAAGAAAATAAAATATCATCTTTATCGTTGTTATCTTGTTGAGAATCTTTTGATAAACTCAACAGAAATTCATTTTTACCTATTTTATCTAACTCAAGAAAAATCTTAAATCTGTGATCGACGATAGGCCAGTCACTAATAACGCGGCCGTCGTTAGGGTCCTTGACAAAAATGGTTTCACAATTAGAATTAGTAGGAGAATTAGGAGATTGCCATTGGCTTTTATTTTTATTTTTGGTACTGCTATTTATGTTATTATTGTTATTACTGTTTTTAATGTTATTATTGATTGTATTATTATTATGTGATGAAAGTTTATTATTATTGTTATTAAGGGGTACAGATTGAACATGAAGGGCTCCAATCAAGAGAGGCAGAGTGTAAGAAATCATTTCGCCATTTTTAAAATTTCGAATTTCAATTTTCGACATTACAATAAATAGTATAAAAGAATAAATAAATTAAAATTTCGTATTTCAATTGGATTCAATTTTGAATTTTTAAATAAAATCGCTACGGACATTTAAAATTTAAATGCCTCTCAGTCTATTTAAATTTGTATATGTTTACCATAGAAATTGTAACATTTAATAAAAAATTTAAAAGTGAATCTCAGTCAATGACATTTATAAACACATATACATTGACATATGGACATGCAACATGTATAAGGTTATTGAATACAAAATTTACCAAAAACATAAAAGCAAAAAATACAAACACCCAAACCACATGTGGCCGCATTTAATATAGACGCTCACAGCGACACAAACATAGAATACAATTTTGTATGATACACACAAACATCTTACGGTACACCCCTATGTACATTGTATACACACGTACACACACATATACACATGTATTTCTAAGTGTATACACACACATACAATTTCGAAGCACATAAATACGCACAAATGCAAGCATACAAATTGATAGCCACATAATACTAAGCCTTCCAAAAACTAACTATATACCCATACATACATACAAAAGTTTCGTAATGGCTAGTTCCCTTAATTAGTTCCCTTATTACATTATACATCCCAACTCCACAGTGCAACGGCGTTCCACCTTTTTAGAACAAACATTTTGTCATTTAACTTATTGTTGTGTGTATCATTTTCTGTGAAATTAAGGGAACTAGCCATTACGAAACTTTTGTATGTATGTACATACATACATACATACACACACACACACACACACATACATACATACACACACACACACACATACATACATACTTACACACATACATACACAAGTTGAAAACACGCTGCAAATGGATATTTGTTATCCTGGTTTATTACTTTCAGTTGAAAATGCAAATGTAACGGTAGGAAATGCACCGCGTTCCAACAATGGATCCTGAAAAATACGATCATAGCCATCAACAGCTATAATAAAATGTAATTATGGCATAATTATAATCATAATAAAATAAAGACATTCATAATTTGGACATAAAATTTCACTAAAATGCTAACAAGTGTCGAGAGATCGGGATTCGGTCCGGCTAGATGTTTCCAGTTCAGTAGTTCATCCATGCAAGAATTTTTCTAAATAATAATTAACATAATTATTATAATTATGCCAATATTATTATTGTCATAACTTTATTATAATATTATAATTATCAAATTAAATAATGGTAAATTAATTATAAATTAGTTCAATTTAAACATTTTTAATTACCAATGCCGTGCAATCCGTAGGTAGGTCGTCACCAATATCTTCATCATCGTCATCGTTATAACAATTATCATCATTATCGTCGTTAATATCTATGACTAAATTATAATCAACATCATCATCATCATCATTATTATCATCATAATTTTTACTAATTATACTATAATTATTAGTAGCAGTAGTATTAACATTCAAAACCTTATGACATTTTTTACAGTTTAGCATGTCGTGTGTAATGGACAGACTTACACCACCATCGCTACCACCACCACTACTACCACTACTACTACTACAACTACTATTTTTGTGTAAGTTACTATGAATATTCGTGTCGAATAGCGATACCGGAACAGGGCTGAACAACTCCATAAGTTGTTCTTTTGAAAATTGCGGTAAATATTTAGAATCGACCGACTTCGAATCGACGACGACACCACTTAGCGACCGCTTCGATATCTGCCTCTGGAACATCCTTTCTTCGATGGTGTTGGTCGTTAAGAGCCGGTATATGTAGGTTCGATGCCTTTGGCCATCGCGCCATACTCGAGCCATTGCCTGATCGATATATGTACGTAAGAACTTACGTGAGTATGATCAGTGCATGAAATTCAGACCAGCAGCCTACGCTCGCATTATAGTGTGTTTAAATTAGCATAAATTAACAAATTATGCATATTTACTAGCCTGCAGATCGATTGCAGGGTTCCAATCGATGTCGTAGAGGATGAGGCGTGAGGCACCCACCAGGTTCAGACCGAAGCCCCCTGCCTTCGTGCTCAACAGGAAGATGACTAAGGGGTAGTGAGTGAGTGCGTGAGTGAGTGATGGATGAAAGAATGAATGAATAAAGAAAGAATAAAAGAAAGAAAAATAAAAAACGGATGGAAGAATAAATCTATATGTGAATGAAAACGTGGCAAAACGAATGGCAAACAGGAGGTATCAAAAGAAGAAATAAATAAAAAGGCAGAAGTAGAGGCAGAGCGAAGAAATGGATGAAAACCATTCAAACAAAATATAAAAATCCTCTTGAAATGTAGCGCTTGAAAACTTACAATCCCTGATGGCCGGATTGTTGAACCTGTCGACAACTTCCTGTCTCTTAGACGTCGGTAACGAACCGTCCAGTCTGAGGAATTTGTAGTTGTTGCATTTGCAGAGTTTCTCTATTAGGTCTAGTGTCTGTGTTGATGTGTATGTACGTACGTATGTGTGTGTGTACGTATGTATGGGTTGTGTATGTGTGTATGCATGCATGCATGCATTAAGTGTGCATGTATGTATGCGTGTATGTTTTTATGTGTTCAATAACAACAAATGCGACATGAACTGCAGACAAGAGCGAGAACGCAGACGAACAAACAAACAAACCCCAACAAACACAGACGACTAGAAAACAACATCCAACCTTGGTATAATTAGACACGACGACCACTTTCTCTGGACAACCGATGCCCACATTTCCATCATCATCATTACCCTCATCATCCCCATTACGTCTTTTAAACATCTTCAACATAGTATGGAGCACCAACATCTTGCTACTAAACATACATTTATTCTCGGCGCTCATGTATTTATAGTCTTTGGGGTAGAAAGCTTGAAGGCCGTTGAGCAAATCTGACTTTAGTGTTGCATTAATTTTTAACGTAATTTCATTTTATTAAGAGCGATAACAAACTAACAACAACAACGACTATAAGAATAAATTATGCTTATTGTATAACATAATATACATAATACAATAATTATATCAAGAAATATACATTAACACTGCATAACTCCTCCTCCTTATTATCATATCCCCGCCCACCACTCTTGTCTGATTGAAACTTCTCATGTATCAAGTCCGGATGATTGCAGACACTCTTCAGGGCCGATATACAGGTAAAGTGTTTCGCCAAACACGACGATGAAGACGACGACGAAGATGATGATGCCGGCTGTTCGAAATGTGATACGCAAGATTTGATGGAGGTGACCAGCTTGTTGTAGAGAGTAAGTTGGAGAGGAGTTAGGCTGCAGATTAGCACAATGTCCACTAGGCGATGATGATCGTGATAAGTTGGATGATCAACGTGATTATGGTGGTGATTAAAATGGATAGGATAATGGTGGCGAAGATAATGATATGATGATCACTATGACGTCATTATTAAAATAACCCTAACCCCCATCACATCATTATCATTACCTTTAGGCGGCAGAAACTTATTATTTATCTCCTGGGTTCTCCTCAATATAAGTTGACCTGTGACCCGGTTCAGTTCGTGTGCCCTGTTCTGACCTAGATTCAATTCAACGACCGAAGCGGTGGGCAGACGTGACGCCAGAATCGGCTGTTCGTACACGTGTTTGAAGGTGGTGATGGTGCCTGGGGTGGCAATGAAGATGTCGTTAACCGCAATCAGCAACAACGAAAACATCCTCACCACCATCTAACCCAGGGCACCAGGCGAGCAGAAATCGACGAGACTGAATAACTCGTGAAGGTCATTTTGGAGCGGAGTTCCCGTGAGAACTATGCGTCTCTTAATGTCCAAACTGCTGATGCACTGTTATGTGTTGATGTGAGTGACGATGAAGTGCTGCTGACAAGACGATGAAGTGTCGACGTCTCACATGAGGAAAATGAAAAAAATGATCATTCACTTGCAGTCACTCAACCAAATCCAACTCAACAACCAATCAACCAACCAACAAACCAACCAATCGATCAACCAACCAACATACCAACCAACCAACATACCAACCAACCAATCAACCAGCTAACCGGCCAACAAACCTGTGTAGTTTTAATACGACTATTCTTCAATTTGTGACCCTCATCGCAGATAACAAGGTCAAACTTTATCCTCTTCAATTCATTAATATCTCTGACCAGCTTATCGTAGGAGATGATGAGGACAGGATGAGAGGTCAAATGAATGAAATTCTGTTGCAGTTGTGGTTACATCACCCTTGCCGTCATCACGTAACACCATCAAACTCATCATCACAATTATCGTCGTCACCACCATAATCACAATTATCACTGTGACCTTACATTGATCGCGTGTTATAATATGAACCTCATTAACATAATCATGACCTCACCTTGACCTCATTATCAGCTGACACGATGTACACGGGCATTCTTTCGAGCGTGACCCACTTTTTGAACTCTTTGTACCAGTTCTGAGGAACGTGATCAGTTAGACGATGGATTTGATTGACAAATGAAAAAAAAACTAGAAAAAAGCGAGTGTTGTATATTTTATTTCATCAAGTAATTTTTATATGCTGACAAGACAAAATATAAACGCCTAATCGAAAGTCTTCAAAGTGAATGAATGAATGAATGAATGAGTGAATGAATGAATGAGTGAATGAATGAATGAAGGAATGAATGAGTGATCAATCAAAAACCACCCCAACTTCAAATCCAAACCTTCACTAAACTTCCGGGTACAACGATAAGAACTTTCCTCAAAACGGGTTTACCGCCATATGGACCTTGCTTATAGAGCGTCCATATTAATGAGATGCACTGCAAAGTCTTACCCAATCCCATCTCGTCTGCAAGGATAGCCCCGCCCACCATGCTCTGCTGGCCGTCGTCACGTGACCTGTTCATGCCCAGTATGCATCTAGATAAACCATCATAACGAATAAAAATGGTTATTTTAAAAAAGAATTTAATCATAGCTAAATTTATTAACAAATGAAAATGCTCATTTGCAAACTAATTTATCCAAAGCAAAGTTTATTGACCAATCAAAATGCATATTTGAGAAGTAATTTATTCGCATTGAAGTTACTAACCAATCAGAGCACTCACTTGTAGAGGAAAGCCACGCCATCCTTTTGATGCTGCCTCAAAAACTTGCACAAAAAAGCATCAACGTACACATCAGCCACTGGCAGGCCGGAAGGGTTGTGGTAAAACTATGAATAAATTAATAATTAATTAAATTAACATAAATACCAAAATAAAAAAGGACGTTAAAAACAATAGAATAACGATAATAAAAACAACAGCAACAACTTGATGGCTGTCACTGGGTCTGGGCAGAATGTACGCCCCGACAGGCGGAGATTGCGATTGGCTGTTGGGTTTGATTGACGTTCTAATTGATGTCTTTGCTTCATTCTGTTGTTGTATTTGTTATTGTTTAGATCCATCATAGTATTATATGCCTGTTAAATAACATTACACTATACACAATGATTTCATTCTCTTAGTTACACACACGCACGGGCGCGCACACACACACGCACACAAAGCGTAGGTGGATGTGTGTGAATCAACCCCACACATTTCATGACAGAAAGGAATCTCTCTGCATTCAAACCCAGTCACTGTGAAGTGGGATCAAGCAAGCGCCTATAACCATTCGACTATCATATCATCACCTGATCTGCCATTCCGTACGAGTCAGATGCTTTTGACGGCATAACAAAAGGCCTACTGACGTCTGATGATCAGTTTTTTTTTTTACACAATTTAAATGATTCAAACCAACTTTTTAAAACATGTCTCTACTACGAACAACAGTTATTTACACTTACACACGCACACTTACACAAAAACATCAATAAAACACACACACACGCAGTCACGCACACACACACACACACACACACACACCTAGGCGAAACACACAAACACATACATAAAGAGCGAGCAAGATACATTAGCGTGAGATAAAACAACAGAAAAAGTGATAGAAAGATAACAAATTTAGAGAAAGAGAGAAAGGATACAAAATAAAAGAAAGAAGGTAAACAGAGATGGAAGAATAGAGAAAGGGATGGAAAGAACGACATAAAGAAAGAAAAAAAGAGGGAGAATAGTTTTGAATCAGAGAAAAATACTTTTCAAACGTGGCGGCCTTGCTGTTGTAAACATTTTATTACTATCATCGTCACCATCATCATCATCATTAGATGCAAAACTATTCTCTCTCCTTCTCTCTCTCTTTTTCTCTTTCTTTATGTCGTTCTGTATATCTATTAGGTCGTCGTTAGAAGGTTTGAAACATCTTCCCTTCAGGAAATCCTCTTCTGAAATCACGGACAACACCTTTGTTGGTTTCAAAGTAATGTATCTAAAGATCGTATATTGTAACCATTAAACACACGCACACGCACACACACACACACATTCTCGCCCGATTAGTCCGATTTGATATTTCGATTTAATAATTTTAAACAATTAATTTACAATCAAATTATTATTCTTGACAAATAAATATCTTGCATCATTTTTATATTATTCTTCACTCCAAGCTATAACCGACTGACTATATATGCGATAACTATCACAACGAAGATGACGATGATGACGACGATGATGATAAAACGCCGATGTTGATGACGATAAAACACTGATTATGATGATGATGACGGTAATGATTAAGATGACCTCCACTTCCTTTTGTCCAATCACAAGGGTTTGACCTTCTTTCAAGCTAGACAATTGGTGGGCTTTGTAGGACATACTCGAGCCAATGCTTAATAATAATAAAAATAATAATAACAATAATAATAATAATACGATTATTATTATTTTTATTATTTGAAGAATATTAACCATTTGCCATCGACATCAAGCAACTTTAAGCCACCTCTAGTCACTGATAATATGGCTTGAAGAGGGTAATTATTCATAATAATTTAATAATAACTATATTAATATCATTATTATTAGCATTATTAACAATACTACCGTAATTATTGCTAATAAATCTAAAAATAAAGAGATAGAGAGAAAGAGAGAGAGAGAGAGAGAAAGAGAGAGAGGAGTGAAAAAAGAAAGAAAGAAAAGAAATTCCTACCATCTCCTTCCCATCTTTTACACTGTAATAAAATAAAATGATTAAAATGAAAATAAACAAAAAATATGAAAATTAATACAAAGATAAAAAAATCAGATAATATTTAAAAAAAAAAAATACTAAATAAGTATTGAAAGTGAATACAGAAAAGGTATAGATTGAAAATGTTAGAATAGTGTATCGAAGAGACAAATATAGAGGTACTTTTTTCTTGGACACCTTGCGCCACATGACATTAAAATAACCGGCTGTCACTGATAATGATGGCGCCACTGATGACGGCGATGCCACCGATGACAATGACGTCACTGACGATGTCATATTCGTTGTCGGTTCCACTGCTGACGTTAATGACGTCATTGTTGTTGCTGATGATGCAACTGAGGTTGTTGTTGGTGTTGTGACGGTTTTTGTCACTCGATCAGGGATGACAATACTTTTTGGATTGTTTGTTTCTCTGGAGAACTTCATGACAATTTCATTGGTTTCTGAATAATCGTCATTAATAATTGTAAAACTTCACAATTTTACCAAAATAATAATATAATGATAATTAATTACATTAATTTTAATAAGAATAATTAAATTTATTTAATAACAATCAATAATGATAATTCAAAATCACCAATTTTATTTTCCATTGAATGTAATGGTTCATTTTTATTGGACGTGGTTATTAACTTTAGAATTTCGTCTGCAGTTCTTAAATTTCTGTTTTCAACCAATTTATTTTCAACTTTTGATGGATTATCATTATGATTTTGAGTTGTATCTTGAGTTGGATTTTTCTATTTTTTTGTAAAAAAAATTAATTAAAATATGTAAAATATTAAAAATATCCCAAAAAGATATTAACACTTATTACTTAATAACTCTATAAAATGTAAATTTGCATATTTAAAAAAACTCACAGATGGCAGCAGAAATGGTGTGGTAAATTTAGGGCGCTTGGCTGCCTCCCCAGGTTCAAGTTGGCTGGGGGCGAAAGATTTTCTCATGGTAATCTTGAAATGGTTTTAAACAAAATTTCAGATTAGTTTTATAATTAACTACGATAAAAGTACTGCGACATTTCAAATTAATGCGACATTTTATAAGAGTGTATAACATTAAATGTCAATTCAAAAAGTGCGCTTTTAAATATTAAATAATGGTATGAAAAAAAAAGATGCCGGTCGGTTACGGTTTTTAATAGTCGAATTTTCTCATTTTAATTTCTAATTATATGTTTTAATATATATAAGGGAATAACTATTTTATTTTAAAAATATGATGACAACCATTTGATCAATTAAAAAAACTAAGTATGTAAATTAAATATCCATGTTTTCCTCATATATATATATATATATATATATATATATATATATATATATATATATATGGAATATCCTACATCTACATGGTAGTATTAAAGTGCGTGAAGTGAATTGACGTTCGTTGCTAACTTCGATTCCCATTTTGTGTTACAATAACAATCGAGACATGGCGCAAATTTTAAAAATTGTTGAATACATTCCTGGAATAATTAGACCAATGTAAATAAATATATTAATGATTTTAATTTTTTAATTTTTTAAGGATGGCAAATATGGCCGAAGATAGCAGGGCTCCATTGTTTTCTTCTCCCAGATCAAAATCGACCAAAGTTCCAGTAGGTACTCCATCATCCTCTACTTTTACAAATCCGCCGAGGTTGTCAAATGTTCCGGAGTACGGTCACTCAACCGATACTCTCAACAATGAAAACTGTTGTGGATGCAGTCGCTGGTCTTGCTCCATGAAAAAAAACAATGCTAATATGAGAGCATTTAACAGACCGTTGCTACAGAAGATTGTTAAGAAAGATTTATTTACAACTGATCCCACCCTGGTCATTAATGAAAATGCTACCACTCCGACTTTGGCAGGTCAAATTCAAAGTAAACCAAATAATGACGGTGAAGCTTCTTCATTATCTTCCTACTCAACTGTTACTGATTCAGATCCGGCTGCAGATAACATCGACTACATAAAATATTATTTTGAAAACCAAAAATCTCAGGGGCTAGGTACTGTTCAATTTAATAATAATAATAATAACACTAAAAATCACATGACCTCATCCCCAGAAAACAGGTTTCTGCTAATAAATCAAAACATTCCTAATTATAAATCAAGAGCTCCAGCAAATTCTCCATCAACAAGCTATGGGGGTCCACAAAGTGATGACTCACCGAAAACAATCTCTGAAAATGATGATGGCTCAGAAATCATCTCATCCCACAATGCCATAGATAACAGATTTGTGAACTTATACAAGAATCTTATAAACGACGACAATGGTAATACAATGATAAAAAATAGTGTCGCTAATAACGAAATCAAAGCAAGTAAACGTAAAACTTCTTTTTCTAGAAATTACATTAAAAGGCCGAAAAATTACTCAACACCTAAATATAGTGAAACCAAAATTTTGGGTAGTAAAATTAATGAAGCTCCACGACGCGATAAAAACCTTGTAAATAGAATAACTCATAGTCAAAGTGTCAGTTCAACTGAGGGCGCAATAAATCCGCCCATCCCTGTTATCGAAAAATCATCGGAAAAGGTTTCCCTATGGTTACAGCACATGAATAGGCAGCGAGTGTTACCTCAAATCTGCGAGCGACGACAATCTCAGCAACAACAGCATCAGCAACAACATTTTGGGCACATTCCTGAACAACAGAATGATATTGAAAAACGAAATCTCCATAAGCAAAGACAACTCAATCAACATAGGTTATACAAAAAAAAGCATTCACCAAGAACAAATAACAAGAGGCCATTGTCTAACCAGTTTCCTAACCATAAAAATTCTCTTTTTAAAAAAACAGTCCAGACACCGGGCCTTCAAGAAAGACTGCAACAACAGCACAAAGAACAACAACACGTAGTCAATACAACTCAACAATGTCCAGGTCTTCATCGTCGTCATCCTCATCATCATCCTAATCACCTTTATCACAATTATCTTAATCATCCTCATCATCAGTTTGGAGTTGGGGGATATGATTATTTGGACCATCGTCGCCAACATCACCTTAGCCATAATTTTGGTATAGTGCCTTGTAACGAATCAGCACCTATATTTTCATATAGCAACGTTATCACCGATAATGACAATAACCTCTGCATTATAAACAATAATTATTTTTATGCTAATAATAAATATTATAACATTAAATATGATGATGACGGTAGCAACGACAGAACGCGAGTAAACGTGGATGAGTTTGATGAAACAAGCAGCTACGGCTGCTCAGATGGTAAGATGCATTTTAACAGCCTTGATAATGATAGTGATGTTGACAGTGGTAAGAAAAACAACAAGGATTATGATGATAATGATGATGGAAATGATGATGGAAATGATGATGATGATGATGGTAATCTGATCACAGCTGATGCTTTTAATGGTGATGGCAATTTGAAAAATGATAACAAAAGCCGTTGCAACAACAATGATGATGATAATTTTGAGAGCAATGTTTTAGACATCAGCGTGATTCAACATGACCCAGTCAGCAACTATCTCAGCAACTGTCTCAGCAACAACAACAACACGACAATCATCCCAACGACGACGGCAACAAATGATGATGGTTCTAACGACAACAACAACTGCTCAACACCAAAAAACAAAGACACTAACCAGAAATGCAGCCATCTTAATCATGAAAAACCCCCTCCTAAGAGTTCCAATAAGGAAGCAGGCAAACACGTTAACATCAATGATCTTCTCGTGAATGACCACAACACTAACGTGAACGTCATTAGCAGCCGCAACAACATCAACAACAGTAGGAGAAACATTAACAACTGTGACAAAGCAACAACAAAAATGGCCACATCCACAAATAAAAGAAGAGTCTCAAAACGACTGGTGCAAGTGAGTAGGTACTTGAAGAGAAAAAGTAGAATGAATCAAAGAGATAAACTCTCATCTTCACTTACGTCTGTGTCGAAGGATGTTAAAACATTGGCCGTCATTTAGAGTTTTCCTCCTTAATTAGTGATTAGGAATTAGTGTTCATAGATTAGTGATCAGTTTTCACTTGTGAACTAGTTTTTATACATAGTAGCATGTTGTACATGTGTTGTATGTATGTCACTTGAATTGAAATTCTTTTTAACGTTCCAAATTCTTCATAATTTAATATATAATTTACGTACATGTATAATGCAAAGAACATACAAATACAGAGACATACTTACACAGACACAACATATTGAGATATAACGTTATTTTTTTTTGTCTGTTTTTATATTTAAAAAATATCTCAAACCTATTCATTTCTACCTTGTGTCATCATCACTTCATCATTTTACGTTCCATCATGTTATTGTGATGACGATGATGATGTTGAAACCATGTATGTATGTATATATATATATATATATATATATATATATATTATATATCCATAGTTGAAACTGATAGTAATTTGCTCCATTTGTCTTACATTATATTTACATTATATTTTATTGTAATGTTTTGTAATACAAATCATATTATGCGCGATATTAACTATTATAATTAAATTATTTACTACTTAATTGCAACATTCAGTCTGAGTAAGAATGCATGTGTGTGTGTTTGTATGTGTGTGCGTGTGTGTTTATGTGTGTAAATGTACATCTATTTACATTAATATGATCTCAAGCTTTTTCAGACATGACATGACAGCTGCCTCGTCTACACTCATTCCTACCAATTGATCAAGTTTATTCGTAATTATCATTAAAAATGCTATTTCTGAATTATTGATATTTATTTTTAACAATTATGATTATATTTACTATTTTCATAATTTATTACCTTTTTTCTCATGATCATGAGTTTGTTGTGATCTCTTCGATGAAAAACCAATGTTGCCTGGTTTAACAAAATTGTTCTGATCCATTTCATTTGTTACATATGAGTGAAAATATAACATTAAAATTTTCTCTTTTAACTTTTTTTATATATACATTTGTTCACATATGAAAATAGTACTACATGAATTCTACCGAACTGATTGATGGCTTGAACCAATTTGAAGTTTGTCTTTTTCACGGGAGTTAGAGGCAAAAACAAAATACGGTGCTAAAGACAAACTTCAAATTGGTTAACGCCAACAATTCGGTAGAATTCATACAGTACTGTATAAAATATGATCTCCTTCCAACAATTTCATATATATATATTTATTTATATATATAGGCATACGAAATTAACAATATGGTTTTTTCGTCTAAAAACAGAAATGCAACAATCCATTCAATTTAAGAAAAATAATATAACCTAAATAGTTTATATTTCATGTCTCTTTTTTCATAAACCGTAAAATCTAAAAACTTAAAATTAATCATTGAATACATATTTTCCGATCATTTCATTTTTTTCTATTCATTATTCTGGTGGTGAATTTTTACTCGCCTCTTCTCTCTCTCTCTCTCTATATATATATATATATATATACATATTATTTATAAAATTAAGGTTAAGACTGTCTTAAGTGATGGGATTGCTAAGAAGCCACAATTCCATCTACGGCAGTTGTTAAATTGAACAATCTCCAGAAATTTCTAGTAAGGAAAACTGAAAAGACAAACCTTAAATTGATTGATGCCAACAATTCAGTAGAATTCATACAATACTGTTTAAAATATGGTCTCCTTCCAACACACACATATATATATATATATATACATATATATATATATCAGTGTGCGTGTAATTCATGTATAGTTTTAAGTTTGTGACAATGCTTGTTTTATGTATTGATATATAAACATTATGTGTGTATGTTTTCTCCTTCGTATGCGTGTGCAAATCTGTGTATGAATGGATGTGTGTGTGCGTGTGGTTGTTTGTGTGTGCGTGTGTTTGTTTTTTGTTACAAGAAAGCAGAAAAATATTCTTCACAAAATAAATCGAAAAATAAAACGTATGCTCTTTATAATAACAAATGAACGATACTGTCATAAAATTGTGAAAAAAATGTATGTATACCACGCATATATATATTAGCACATATACATGCGTACACGCACACAACATACACGCACACATGTGTATACAAATATATTTATGTACGTACACACGCGCGTACACACACGTACGCAAACCTGCTCGTACACAAATCAAATGCTTGACAGGCAAGCAGACAAATGAAACGTCCTAGCATTAAATAAAGAAATAAAATATTTCTGATCATAATTGCTACCCGTGTAGTAAAATAATAAATAGGATATTAATTATTATAATTTAAAAATAATATAATTATTATTAATTGGTTATTTCGTCGGCTATAATTATGATTGTTCCGTCTTGTTGCAAAGATATTTTTCCGCAGCTGTTAACGTTGAACGTTTCATCTTTGGCTGATTGTAATTGGGTAGAATGGTTTGGTATTAAATGATTAGAGCTCTCTGATTGGCTTGAAATGTTTGGGCTTGAGGGTACAAAGCTTTGTGATTGACTGGTAATGTTTGAACTTGAAAGTATGGAGCTCTGTGATTGAATGGAAGGGTTTAAATGTAGAGAGCCCTGCGATTGGTTAGAGAGGTGTAAAGAGATCTGTGATTGGCTAGCTCCTGATGAAGATGACAACGACGATGATGACAATTTATTTGACGATGATGACCTATCTTCTATTTCAACGTTATTATTGCTGTTAATGTAACAAGCGATGCTATCACCACTGTTGATGCTATTCATATTTACACTTACACCACTTTCACCATAACAATTAGTCACTTCACCACTTGTGCAGATGGCCTCATTAGACATACTGCAGTTATTACTATTATTATTATTATTGTTGTTGTTGTTGTTGCTGCTGTTGCTATCATCATTGCCCCCCTGAGCCATAGACAGAAGTATGGACGCTGGATCGGCCGAGGTATCGCTAGCGGCCACTCTCCTCATTGATTCTAAGGTACTGTCAGAAACGACAAACACGTGCAACAGCTGTTGTGGTTGCTGCTGCTGCTGTTGTTGCTGGTAGCCGCCATCGTCACTAGCCATAGCGATAACAACGAGTTTGTGGCCATCGGGGATCTCACCAATGCCTAGAGCCACTAGATCGATTTCGTTGTGATCAATGACATGGATCGCTGCCTGAGACGTGCCTATGAAATTGTTGTCGTTGTTGTAGTTCACGTCATCGTCCTCTTTGTTTGCATTAATACTCTGATCGTGTTTATTAACAGCGCCTTCATTGGCTACAGCGTTATTGTCGTCAGTATGTTCCATGACAACTCTGTCTGCATTGCCCTTACTAACATCTGGTCGGTTGTTAGTATTATTGTTTGTAGTAGCAGTAATACTATTAGTATTAGTACTAGCTGTGACTTTTGTACTATAGCTGTCAATATCAATAGTAGGATTGGTGGCGGAACCCATATTAATCTTCTGCAAGGCACTCTGCCGTTTGTCAACACGAATCTGTTGCAACTGCTGCAACAATTTGCTCTCCTCATTGTCGTTATAGCTGCTACTACTGCCGCTCTTTTTGTACGTAGTAGTCGTCGTCGACAGGTTGCTGATGGCGGAGGCAGTGGGAACTGTCACGCGACCGTATCTAGTCCGTCTACTCTGTACCATGCTCAAAAACTCTATGCCATCATCTGCAATGTCAGTTTTGTTATTGATATTATTTCATCGCTTCTGCTATTATTATTATTATTACTATTATAGTTATATATATATATATATATAAGATATAATGTATGCATATTTATCTATAGGCATCATCATCATTACCATTATCATAATAAAAAGCAAACTAAAAAAACCCCATTACCATCACCATCTTCCTCCTCTTCTTCCTGCTCCTCCTCCTCATCATCATCATTTTCCTCTCTCTCACCGCCATCACCATCTTCCCTATCAGTAGCTCTTTTGGATTTACATTTTTTACTCCGTCCATTACCAATACTGTGATCATTATCAGTAGTGGTAGTAATAGTACTAGAAGAAGTAGTAGTAGTAGTAGCAGCAGTAGTAGTAGTAGTAGTAGTAGTAGTAGTAGTAGTAGCCCCAGCAGTAAAACTACTATCAGCGCCTCCATTAGCGCTTTTAGAATAAAGTTCTTTGACGGAGTCCTTAATGAAATCAGGGATTTTCCCGCGTTTTCCTGGCCGCCAATCGTCATCATTACCATCGTTGTTGTTATTATTATTTTCGTCGTCGTTGTTGTCGTCGCTGCTGCTACTTTCGGCATACAGCTTTACTATAAAGAGTTAATTGTTGTTTTTTGTGAGTGTACGTGTGTGTATGTATATGTGTGTGTGTGTCATTAGACATGAATGTGCGTATGCAAATGTGTGTATCTAAGCAAGTATTCAAACCAACGAATTAATGAATGAATAAATAAACGAATGAATGAACAGGTGAATGAACGAATGAATGAATGTATAACCGAACGACTGACGTGTTTTTTTGCTGTACTTCTTCCGTTTGCTCTTCTGACTATCATTCAAACCTTTGCAAACCTGTTTCTCACCACTATTATTGTTTTTATCACCAGGAACGTTATTGCCACTAAAGCTACTCTCACCCTTGCCAATGCCATTATCTTTATTTTTATTATTTTTATTATTATTATTATCTTTATTATTCTTATTCTTATTTTCGACCTTGGTGGCTGTTGGATTTTTGTTTTTCTTCTTGATGTTTTGTTGTTTCCGTTTCTTTGTCGGAGACTCAACCTCGACCGACGGTGGCTCAGCCAATAAGGTTATATCAAGTGTTCTTCTTTCCTCTGATTGGTTGGAATGTTCGACTGAATGATTGATCTGATTTGTTGACTGATTTTATTGGCTGATTTGATTGATTGATTTGATTGATTGATTGATTGATTGGTTGATAATACTTGAGAAGCAGTTGAAATTGATTAGAAAATAAGAACCCACCAGGTCCGTTATCATCATAATAAATTTTTCCACATCATCATCTTCATCAACGTCATCATCACTAATCATCATCATCGTCACTTACTTAAGGCT